AATTTTGATATGAAAACTCTAATCGAACAAGCATAGGCGAAAAGGACTTACGGTACCAGACCAGACGGCTGAGCAAAAAACAGGCCTGGCTTAACCAGAAAATGCGTGGTGGGGCTCCCATCAAGGTGTAGTCGCATTCGTTCTCCACGAGTGATCTCTCTCTCTCTCTCTCTCTCTCTCTCTCTCTCTCTTCTTTCTTTCTTTTTTCTTTTTGGGGGTCGACACGAGTGATTCTCTTTCCCTTAATTTAAATTTTGTACTTGAAAAAGTCGGTCTGTTTCTACAAACCGAATAATCTTCGGTTTTTTCATGGATATGACCCCGATGATTCCTCTTAAAAAAGAAGATTAAATTTTGATTTTTTCAATGAAAATAAATGATCAAGTATCAATAATAATGTAGTGTCTGGTTCTTGGGCTTTAGATTTTTTGAGCTTTTCTTTAAGCTCTAAAAGGAGCTTTATGCCGAGATCATCTATTGGATTTAAAAGTTTTTTTTTTTTTTGGGGGGGGGGGTGGGGTTAAAAAAAGATCTCAAAAGCGTGCAATTAATTAGCCTAAAAAAAATGCTACTGAAGTAAATAATTCTTTTTCCACCACACATTTCAATACCTAGTCATAACCCAATGTCTTAATACGTCTGCTTGGATTGGAAGCTCACTCTCCAATAATCTCTCAAAAATTAAGTGAAAAAATGATTCATGCTTGCATTGGAAGCTCACTCTCCAATAATCTCTCAAAAATTAAGTGCAAAAAATATCATGTGTCACGGCCCAAACCCAGGCCCCGTGACTAGATTAGAGTCCTCGACCCTAGTCAGCCATACAGCCGCAAACACATACCAAAACTAAACCCCAGCATATATGCATACGTATGTCTTTACATCTCAAACCATCAATTACAAAACCAGGACCCTGCCTGAGTGATAAAGGAGCACTAGAGTACAAAACAGGTAAACAAAGAACTCGTCCGTACATCCAATAAAGTGGCAGGCGACCGTCTCTCGATCCTGGTACGCAACCCGAGATCTACAACCTATATCTGGAAGGTTTATAATAAATGAATCGCGAAACTCAGTGAGTATAGATGATACCTAACCTAAGCATGTCAGGATATGCATCATGTCACAAATTGAAAGCCATACATACATATACTGATATCAATAAAACATATCAAACACACTCTGAAAGATACCATCAACCAAGCATCACATCACAGCATATCGACTCACATCACAATACTGGACCCAGGTCCACTCACCATTAGACCCTACGGATTACCGTACTCCAACTGAGTTCCTGGCGTCGCAGTCACCCCACATGACCCAAGCCGACTCACCACTAGACGCCACGAACCGCCGTACTCCAGCCAAGTTTCTAGCGTCACAATCACCCCACACGACCCAGGCCGACTCACCACTGGACATTACGGACTGCCGTGCTCCAGTCGAGTTCTTAGCATCATTAGCGACTCGCCCGACCCAGCCTGACTCACCACTGGACGCTACAGATCTGTACTCTAGCCGAGTTCTTGGCATCCCCACATCACATCACAAGACACCATCCTCACACACAAGTCAAAAACAAGTACACATACACATACAAAATTCACATCTCCCAAAATAAGTGGAACATACCAACATAGTTCACTAACAGTTCACAAAACACATAACATGCATTCCAAGATTCACATATCGAGCACAGTTTCACAAATCCATGCAATCATCATGCTAGAAAAACAAGTATGAAAATACATGCATAATGAGGGTAGCATCATTCACTGTACAGGCTGAGTCTAACAAGAGTCTCAGGTCACCTCAACCAACTCTACAGTCTCAGTGCTCCTCCACGGGTGACCTGAAGTCAAAACCATTCAAAAACTGTCACCAACCCTATTGTTAGTACTTAAACGGGCTCGACAACCCAAGACGGGACTTAAATCCCATCGTCACACCCAACACGCATCCTGAGACACCACTACCCATCACTGGGTCCCGCGTGACTCACTTAACACTCACTCTTCGGCTCCACAACCCTTAACATTACAGGACCAGCCTCCACCACCCCCAACCCATAGTAAACCGATCTCCGAAACCCTCAAACTAACTTAACCTAGTCTAAAACTATCTCAAACTTAACTCGATCGATCACGAAACCCTCAAAATCAGATTCAGAAGACCCAAAAAACCCCCAAGAATCACCCTAAACCGGCCAAAAACCCTAATCCTAAGCATTAGCACGCAAATCGAGGCCAGTTCACCTTGAACTGGTCATTCAAACGTCACTAAATTTCATAGTCAGCTAGGTTTCATCATGTTGAACTGGGATTGGTTCAATTTTCCCAAGAACTGACCTAAAAATTGGTGAACCTGACACTTGAAAGGAACCACACTAAACCGGCCGGTTCATCTCGAACCGACCACCCCAAATTTCCCAAACCTACTTGGGTTGATAGGTGTTTTCTTAACGAGCCCAGAACCGGTCTTACTTCCCAAATTCGAGTCCAGTTGACCACAAAACCGGATGGTCAAACAGTGAACCATTTTTGGCCAGTTCAGTCAACTCCCAAAACCCTAATTTCCCAAATCCCGGATTATACTGTCCTCAACTATCCCAGACAACCCTTATCCTTGATTTCTTATCCCTGCAGATAGCCTAACCCGATTTTTCCTTCTGGGTCAACTTGGCCGAGTTGACCCACCCCCTTTCTCATTGGGCCGAGTCGACCCAACGGGTCGACTCAGCCTAGCCCTTACCAAGGCTAGCCCGCGGCCCTACAACCCAACTAGGCCAAGCCCAGGCCCAACAGGGTGACCCAGCCCGGCCTGGCACAAGGACTCGGACCCATCCAAGTCCCTATCTTCTCCACCCGACTCCACCAACCCGGAACGCGCACCCCCCTCTTGGGCTGGCCCGCGGTTCAGGGCCGCAACCTCGTTGAGCTGAGCTCGAGCCCAACAGCCCGGGCCGACCCCCATATGGGACCTGGGCCTAGCCGGGTTCTGTCTTCCACGCCTAACCGAAACACCCGAATAAGCATCTGGGTCTACAACAGACCCAGATCTCCAAAGCTCAAAATATAAACACAAATTCGACTTACTTGATTCACGGAAGCTAAAAACGGTGTAATTAAAGCCGGCAAACAAGTTGATGTGTTTTAATCGAAGCAAAATGTGCTCAAATCTCGAATTTTCCCAGAATTTTTTTGTCGGTGCCGCGGAGCTTGCAGTTCAGTTTCTCCCTCTCCTCTCACTCAACCTCCCAAATTAAACACGCACCCATGCTCGTTTCTCCACCACAAATAGCTTTCCAAAAGTTAGGAAAGCTGGCATGCTTGCTCCTATTGGAGCAAGCCTGGCTTCTACACCCTTCGGCCGACTTCTGGCCGAAGGTCCCCTTTCCTTTTTTTTTATTTTTTCAATTCGGCCCCATTAACTTTTATTCTATTCATTTTACTCCACCAATTTTCGAATTCACCACCAAACATTTCAATTATTGCACAACAACCCAAAAGAAAAATGAAAACAAAATCGAGCGATTACATCATGCGAGAGAGCTCATTTGATAAGTTGAATAAGAATAAATTATCTATTTTTATTTGATTTTATCTAATATGTGACATTTCAAAGGGGGTGAGTGTGTGTAACACCCTTAGGCGAATCCCATATTAACAAAACACGGGAGAGATTCTGGGCTTATAAGTGACTAGAGATTATTACTGAGAGATTCTGGGCTTATGAGTGGTTAGAGACTACTACTGAACAACGTGGGCTCAAGCATTTTGGGCTAGTGGTTCAGGCTCAACAAGCTGTTAGGGCCAGTAGTTACAAATGGTATTAGAGCCACTCCGCGTGCAACCTTGAACGATGGTGGAGCAAACCTCAGTGAGGACGCTGAGTCCCAAAGAAGAGGGGTGTATGTAACACCCCAAAGGGGGGTGAGTGTGTGTGACACCCTTAGGCGAATCCCACATCGACAAAATACAGGAAATATCCTAGGTTTATAAGTGACTAGAGACTACTACTCAACAACTTGGGCTTAAGCATTTTGGGCCAGTGGTTCAGGCTCAACAAGTTGCTAGGGCCAGTAGTACTCGAGTCGTTACATAATATTTGAAAGATTAGATAATAACGTCAAATAAAAAATTTAGATAGAATAATTATTCAACTAGATTTAGATACATTATATAAGATGAGGGATGAGATAATTTATCTAACAATTATCTAGCTTACGTGGATAATATTACCCTAATATTTTCCAGCCATCCACCATTGGCTATTGCCATTATTGCCCGCTGCTTGTTGCCTGCCACTTGTCGTTGCTGCCGCCACCGCCACCATTACTGCTTTCGTCGTCGCCGCCGCCCACCACCACTGCCTATTAGTGTCACCTGTTGCCACCCACCACCACCACCTACTGTTTGCCGCCGCCATCGCCACCACCACTGCCTACTACTACCCACCACTGCCATTGCTGCCACCACCCACCACTCATCACTGCAGCTTGCCAACCACTGTCACTAGCCATGCCATCCACTGTCATAAGAAAATAAAAGAATAATTTAGTATTTTATATATTTACCTGGTATTTTATGTAAACTTTTGTTAAATTTATCAAATGTAATATAATAATTCAAAATATTATACTATCAAGATACTTTATCTAGATACTATTTTATTTTATTTTATCCAATCTAATTTTTTAAACTAAGTCTTAAGCATCCACTATAGGATGCCAAAATTTAATTTAATAATTTAATAAGATGAACAAATTTAAATCGCCGAAAAAAAAGAAAGGGACAATCCATACCTCATTAAAAGTACAAATCTTAAAGTGATCCATTCCTTCAGAGATTTGTTTACTTCCACAATCTTATCTCTCCACCTTTCTCACTCCTTTGGAGGCCTATAAATTACACCCCTGAACCCCCATCCTCTGCACATTCATCTAAGAGAGAGAAACACGTGACTCATTGGAGAGAGAGAGAGAGAGAGAGAGAGAGATGGAGTCTTTCCCTGTGATAAACTTGGAAAAGCTCAATGGGGAAGAGAGAGCAGCAACCATGGAAAAGATAAGAGATGCTTGTGAAAACTGGGGCTTCTTTGAGGTAATTGTTATCTTTTGCAAAGCCCTGCTTTTGTTCAAGGCTTTTTGCCAGAATCCAATAGAATGATCTGTTGGTTTTTGGCAGATAATGACTCTTTAATGATAGCTAATAGTTCCAATCTTCACAAATCTGATTTGTTGTGTTTGAGGGTTCTAGCAGAAATCCAATAGAATGCAAAAGTTGACTTAAAAACGCTCTGAATTCTCTTCCTTTCTTTAGCTTATAGATTAAGTTGACTTACAAGTTACCTTTTCTGAAAAAAGCTGGTGAATCATGGGATATCCCTAGAGCTATTGGACAGAGTGAGAGGTTGACGAAGGAGCACTACAAGAAGTGCATGGAGCAGAGGTTCAAGGAAATGGTGGCCAACAAAGGGCTAGAAGCTGTTGAGTCTGAAATCAATGACTTAGACTGGGAAAGCACCTTCTTCTTGAAGCATCTCCCTGTTTCCAATGTCTGTGAAGTTCCTGACCTTGAAGAAGATTACAGGTTAAAAATTCGCATACTATTCCCTCTTAAAAGTTAACATTCGAGTGTCACTCTTTTGGGCAAACTACTTTAAGTTATAGAATTACGAGCTGTTTAGTTCCTGAGTTTTTTTTTTTAAGAAATTTAAAAAAGTTACTTTTTTCCTATCCGGCCTTTTCTTCTCTCTGTTGTATTTTTTATTAGTTAGGAAAAGACTTAAAACCTTTAGGTTTCAGGGCGTTTGGTTGCTATTTGAAAAAAAAAAAAAAAATGCTCGGCTTTTTGTTCTCAATTTTATATTTGTAACATTTTTGAATTTGAACCAAACAACCTCACCGAAAAGTCTAACTTTCTAGCCACTTATGCTTACGTGGAGTTTTTCCTTTGTGGGTTGTGGGCAGGAAGGCAATGAAGGAATTTGCGGGGGAACTGGAAAAGCGGGCAGAGCTGCTTTTGGACTTACTATGTGAAAATCTTGGGTTAGAGAAAGGGTACCTCAAGAAGGCTTTCTATGGCTCCAAGGGTCCTAGTTTTGGCACCAAGGTTGGAAACTACCCGCCGTGTCCTCGGCCGGAGCTGGTGAAGGGCCTCCGAGCCCACACCGATGCAGGTGGCATCATACTACTCTTCCAAGACGACAAGGTGAGTGGCCTCCAGCTGCTCAAGGAAGGCGAGTGGATCGATGTCCCGCCGATGAGACATTCCATTGTCGTCAACCTAGGGGACCAACTAGAGGTATGCCACAAGCCCGTCTTTAGGCTTCTTCTACCCTCTAAAATTAGCTTCCAGCAAGATGATGTGTAAAAATTTTTATCCACAGGTAATTACAAATGGCAAGTACAAGAGTGTGATGCACCGTGTGCTAACCCAAACTGACGGCACTAGAATGTCTATAGCATCCTTCTATAATCCGGGCAGCGATGCCGTCATATTTCCGGCACCTGCCCTAGTGGAGAAGGAAGAAGATGAGAAGAAGAAGCAAGTTTACCCTAAATTCGTGTTCGAAGACTACATGAAACTCTATGCTGGCCTCAAGTTCCAGGACAAGGAGCCCCGGTTCAAGGCCATGAAGGCCATGGAAGAGAGCACCATCAACCTTGGACCTATTGCCACTGTTTAAGATCAACATCCATATATATGAACTATATCTATATATACAGCCTAGATCTTCTGTGTTCTACTGTGTGTTTGAAGGGAGGGTTTGCTAGGGCAGTTTGTGAAACTTTAAAGAGTTTAGTTTCTGACCAACTCTTGTAGACTTGTTTCTGGGTGTTGCTGTTAGGGGTGGTGTGGTGGTGTTTGACATGTTAAAGGTTTTAGATGATTTGCTCAAGTAACCGAAAGTCTACCTATTTGACGTGAACTGTGTTAAGTTAATAGTGACTTTCTTTATGTATTTAATATTTCGCCCCTTTTATTTTTTATTTTTATTTATTTATATATTTACTTTTTGCCTTTTTACCCGCTTTACTTTTCACGTGGGTTATTTCAGCGATTAAACGCGTAGAGCAACAGTAAAAAGTTGAAAGAATCCATTTACTTCGTGCTGAAGGCAACAACAGTAAAATATTGGGCACGATTTTACTTTGTTATAATCAATTAATTAGTCTATTTTTGTTTAGATGAATGAGAATCTTCTGGGAGGACTTGCACTGCTCTCTACAGACAGAGTACATCTTCTTTTCGTTGCTCTGTCCATGACACTGAAAATGTAACTCAAAAGCAAGACAGAGCATAGACTCAGAACAAAGAGCTTTATGGACCTCCTTCCATGGTAATATAGTGGTAAATAGCTCAAGCACAAGCGGTAAATTAATAATAATAAATAAATATACCAACCAAAAAAATAAATGAATAAATAATAAAACAAAAACAACAGAACAAGAAGACAAAAAACAGGAAATAACAGGACAACAACACGCAAAACAGAGAAAAATAACCACCACCTTCTCCACCAGGACTTGACATAAATTGGTTTTCAAATAGGCATATAACATATTAGGTTAATTTTTAGGCAGAACAATAATTTATGAACCTAAACATCATACATTGTACCTTAACATCCGCATCAAAACCTAACAACTGAAAGTGGAGTACAGCTGACAAGGCCTTCATAGTTCTGATACATATAATCCAAAGACAATCCTTTGAGTGATGTTAAATCTGCGATACTGAAAATACAACAATGATGAAAGAACCACCCCCCCATCCACTGATAATTTTGTTGCTTCTGCACCAATAATTCCCTTGTTGAAATTAAAATTCTAGTCATACAACTCTAGTATTTTTCCTGACAATTGACAATTAGGACATGATAGAATAGCACAACTTAACATTTTCCCCACTGTAAGAAGTCTGTTATAAATCTATATAGAATGTATAACAGGCTTGGATTCACATTTCAGTTGACAGCATACGCGTGCATCCGCAACAATGAGGTTATGGGAAATTTTGCAATAATTGGGATCATATGATGTTAACCCTAATGCAGGCAAAATGCAAGAAGTAGAATATAACTCTGATTAAAATTGCATGTAAAGATTGTTTCCAGAAAAAAGAAATTGACAGTGAATAATATTATAAAACAGAGCAACTACTGCCAAGTAAGCAAGCTATAGCTGAATTAGAGTAGCAACAACTAAATTCTAATCAAGTTGCATGCAGAAAGAACCACGTCCAACAGTTTCACAAACCATGAATGAACTTATATTGAAGATGTTTGCAGCCAAAAATTAAAAATATAGAGCATAACTTCTCAGAATCATTTTTATTTCCAGGATCTAAGATCTAGTTATATGTTCAGCTCACCCTCTCCCCAACTTAGAAAAAAGAAAGAAATAAGAAATAAGAAAGAAAGAAGGAAAGAAACATACATAGACACAAGACAACATGTAAAAAACAACACCACAAATTGAAGAACACCACCACCACAAATGAGATTTATTTTCCAAGGATGTCAAATCAAATAGAAGTATATGTTTAACAAACTTGCAAAATATGCTTTTGTGATATAGCACCGGTGATCCGATAGCTTGACCTATAGACTCACATATCAACGAATGAAACAAGGCCCAGACAAGATGTCCAAGTCAAACAACTATAAACCCCTATTAAAATTTTCTTTACAGCAAGAAAAGCAAAAGGTAACTGCAATAAGAAGTGTTAAAATTTTCTTCACAGGGTAATTTTTAAGGGTTAAAATTCTCAAAAGTGCGGGCAGGCGCGGAAGGGAGGTGGGGTGGGCAAGGGGGGGGGGGGGGGGGAGACAGAATTTATCAGACAGAGAACAAAAGCAGTCATCTGCAAAAGCATACTTTCTCGGGTTTTTATCTGAAAGCACAGAAGAATTCCTTCCCCCTTGATAATTTGAATAGAAAGTGACAGCACTTCTGAGCCACTAACTACTCTGTATGTGTGAATGTTCTTTTAGATGATACAACAAATCAGCAACATAAGCCCACTGACACATCACTGGGGGTGAAACAGCATATTGATGTTTACGCGGACACTGAAGAGCATCCAGTCAAAAATCAACTTCATGATCAATAGAGAGAAAAATATTAACTAATTTCCATCGCACACTTGTAATCCAAGTACATGGAATGGAGAAGCGTTGCAGTGGCAAGTGACCTGTACCAAAGGATGTCAGCTCAAGGCTTGCCTGAGGCTAAAAGCTTGATCAACTCAAGTTCTTAAAAAATGGTATGACAGAATAATTACACTGGAAACTCCCTCACTTCAAATCAGATTATCATCAGGATTCGTTCACGGCTATTGCCCAAGTGAAAGAAGAATTTACTTTGGTTAACATATTAACACAAGCATATCAAGAAGTAAGCTGATTGTTTTTGATCTGAAAGAGGTTTAGGGTGATAATGTTAAAGAATATCGATTGATTGGGACACCCAAACAAATTATGACAAACAGCATAAACTTTTCTTAAATGGATTAATCAATCTTATCAATTAGCACCTGTGTGACTAAAATTCAAATAAATTACTAACCCAACACCTCACTGGGTATGGTGTTCGCCTGCATATTTGTTGCCTATGCAAGGTGCATATACTGATAACAAACATGTTGATGTTCACAAAGACACTGAAGATAATCCACAGAAAAATGAAATTCATGATCAATAAAAAGAAAGAGTATTAATTAATTCCCGTTGTACACTGTGATCGAAGGCATAGGATAGAAAGGCAAGGCAGCAGCAAGTGATCTGTACCAAAAAATGTCAGTTCAAGGCTTGCCAAAGGGTAAATGCCAGCTCAAGTTCTTCAAAAAGATAACACAAAAGAATAATAACCATAGTTGCCAAAACGTGAATTGTATAAAAAATCATTTGTTCAATTTTTGAATCGTGAATTATGATGTATCGTAAGATTCAAAAATAAATCAATAAAACACTTTGATATACATGATTTTACATTTAAAACATAAACAAAATACTCAAAAGTTTCACATAAATACTTAAATATTACACAAGGACGAAGCCAGATTTTTTTTATCATGAGGTGCCAACTGAGATAATTTTTATAAATGAAGCTAACAAAATAAATGTCTAACAAATATATGCAAATTTATGTAGTTATTTAATGTAAATAATTATGAAACTGTTAACTCTTATTTAGTCTTGACAAACGACATATTAAACAAATAATAATCAAATCGTGAATCATGTCACGAATCATATCAAGATTTGTGTCAAATCATGCATAAATCACACAATTTAAATGCTTCTACGGTTCAATAACTAATACAAATCGCTGGCTTTATGAATCAAATCGTGCATTATTCGATTCTAACAACAGTGATAATAATACCAGCAACTTACTTTGAATCAGGTTATTATTATTAAGATTTTATTCACCATTATTACCAATTGTACAATGAATTTACTTCGGTTCACAAAATTAAACATGGAAAAAATTCAACGAGTTAGCTGATTGATTTTCATATGAAAGAGACTTGGGGTGATAATGTCAAAGAATATCAATTGGTTTTGATTTTCATATGAAAGAGACTTGGAGTGATTATCTTAAAGAATATCAATTGGTTGAGACATTGAAAAAGAATATGCCAAACTAACATATCTTTTTCTTAAATGGATAAACCAACCATACCAATTAATACTTGCCTGACAAAAATTCAAATAAATTACAATCCCAACAACCTCACTGGGCACAGCTGTAGCCTCCACATCTGCTGTCTATTTGACAAGCCAACAGAGAAGGCACTTTTATTGTGCATACGGATAACAAACATGTCAAACTGACGATATGGTCATCTGCCAATTTCATAACCATAATGGAACGTAAAAACTGCGGCTATTACATTAAATTCCAATCACACCACTGGTTTATAACCTTTAACTGGAAGAATAATACTACGAGGACCTTCAATTTCTTCAGTAGAAGTTTCGTTAATGGAAGAAGACAAGTGCCCAATATGTATAAGGTCACGCATACAAATCCATCCCCCTCTTAGTCTATCATATAGCAAACTCTCCTGAAGTAAAGAGAACAAGCAGTGCAAAAGGCATAGAACATTTAATTGCTCAGGTTTAATTGTAAGCTACAAGGAAAATGTTTCAAAGTAACTTTGGCCCAGTAAACTAAGTATTGCAAAGACAATGTGATCATGACACTCACCAGCTGTGCAAAGATAATGAGGTCTTCCACTGACCAAAAAAAAACAAAAAGGCATCTAACCTTCCGGTGAGTACACAGCTGTTCAGTGTTGGCATCTAACTTCTATTTCAAAAATGAAAAATGAAGAAAAATCTTCCACTATCCACCATCAGCTCTGAAGACAAGTATCGGGTCTCCCCATTTCAAGCTTGTTGGCAAGAAGAGAAACTCTGGAAATTAATTTAAGGACACATGCACCAAATTTACTCTGCCAGTGCTTGACTTGATTTCAGCTTTATTATTTGCTTTATTGGCAATATCAGCGCTAGAATTTCCAACCTTCTTCTCATCTCCTCCAATAGCATCAGCATTTGAGCAGTGGTTCTTCAAAACCATAGAAATGTCAGCCTCAGAAGCCCCAGCAAGCTTAAATCTCTCAACGGAACCATCCAAATTCTCTCTCCAACCTTTCATCCCTAGCTTACATTCA